GTTCTACTTCACACAGCCCTTTACCCACATTTCTTCCTTTTGATTGATTGGGGAGGGAGATTTTCACTTAAGACCTCCTCCATGGAGGATTTTTTTTTTTTAATAAGGTGTGAAAGCTGATTAGTATGTCTGTTGTTGACTTGGAACTTTTGAGCAGATCAAAATACACAGGACCTGTCCAGGGGAGATGGAGGATGTGGTGAAACAATTGGAGGAAGCAACTGGTTCTGTTGTGGTTGGTCAAATTGGCCGGACTGTGATCATATATAGGCCTAGTCTCACCAAAATGAAGGTAGAGGAGAAAAAGAAACAAGCTCGGAGAGTTTCGAGGAAATCAGAAAAACCAGCATTTCTGGTGAGAGAATAAGCAAATCTCCAACTCTGGAATTAGCTAGGGACATTCTTAAACTTTGAAGCCAATGATTGGTACCTCTTCCAAAACTTCACTGATTGCCTTTGTAAAACATGCAGAAGAAAGGACAAGAAGCCAGATCATCTGGACGTGGTCGACGGGGATCTAGCAGATTCTGAATGCCGGTGCTTCAAAGTATATTTTCTTGGAATCATGTTGAAAGATGATCAGGAGATGCTGTGTGGATACTTTCCCCTAATTTCTTTTGGTGGCAAATTTGATAATTTGGTTGAAATTACCATCCAAACCAGGAGGATAGTTTTTGGTGATGGCATCAAACATTTGGGTCAAATTCCCGGTGTGGTATATCTGTTGGGTTGTTTGATAGACTCAGGACGGATTTGAGGACAGAAAGTTTGCTGAAGGAGATATTAACATGACCATTGTAGTATTTTCCAGCTTCAGTATAATACATACAGAATTCAGTGTCAATTTTGGACATGTGCAATGTTCTTTCTCACTTCTGTAAAGATTCTTGGTTGCAATTTTCATTGATGTAATATGATATGAATTCTGAATTTGAAGGATTGTAGGCATGACATTAACTACAATTGAAGTGACATATTTTGCCCTTTTAAAACAAAATCTTATTATAAAATATAGAATTGTAACATTGGATGGTGAAAAAGGAAATACATGAGCAAGATATCGTGGTATTTTTGCTCATAGCTGCATTTGAGGCGCCAAAGAAGGATTAAGATGTATTTATCTTTCAGAAACTAAATCCACTTCATCCTTTTGAGCATGAAGCATGCTCAAATATTCTTCTCGTACTGCAATATATTAAGCAGCTTTGAGCTTCTCCAGTTTGAAACGGCTGAAGTCTTGGGAAAAAAGTATGCCATCAGGTGAAAGGAGCCGTTGCACAGAGAGGAAAAATCGAGCCTGAAAAAGAAAAAAAGAAGTCAGTTTGCTCTTGTAATGCCATTCGCATAATGGTAGTGTCAAGGCTTACCCATTGAAATCCTGCAAGTGCACACCAGCAGCCTGGCAAACCAAATGTTGTGCTGCTGCTTACAAGCTGGAACCAAGGGAAACAGTGGGGCATCTTAGTGCATGGGTAATTTGATTAAACACTTGAGAAACAGAAACTATTGGATGAGCTAAAAAGATTTTCACCAGCAATACAAGAGCACCCAAAGAGAAGCATCCACTCATGGAGAAGCCGAGAAACTTAAGATCCCGCCCTGCCTAAAAAAGGAAAAGATATTTTGGTGCCAGAAGACAAGCTGGAAAACAAATTTATGCATATTCCTATGCATAAATTATCCTCCAGCGTAACTCTGAAAAGAGAGAAAATGTGGCACAAAATTCTTGTTTTTGAGAATTCTAGATGTATCTTTATACAAGCAAAATCATAGAACTTTCATGGGGATTTGTATATGCAGGAAAATGCAGAGATATCAGAAACTAACAGACAATCAACGCTCAATGGACAAAGATTGTCAAATTAACTTTCTCTGCCTTAGGTCCCAAGGAGGTATAAAATATGTATGAATGAGATTCATGAAACTTTGAAGAAAGATTCAGAAAGTTGGGTCTTATGAAATACCAGCAATGTTCCCTCAAGGCTAAGAGTGGATGGTGTCACGACTATAGCAATAAAGTATGGTATCAGCACCCTGTGCATCTGCATGGTTACAAGAAAAAAAATATGTATATGAATGAGATGATTGAGATTGACAATGCCATAGAAAGACAATGAAATATAGTTTTTTCCATACAGCATTTGCAATTCAAAAAAACTTAGAATGGGGGATGATGCAACCAGTGAATAGCAGCATGGATACGAGAATCTGTCAAAGTCTAAATAGAATAGTTAAAACCAAGGCTGTTTAGAGTTATCACATATTATAAATTTCAAAATGACATACTTAGAAGAGAATTATATCTATGGAACATAACATAACATATCATTTAGCGCACTGCTTATTGTGTAGGGGTTGACAACATAACTTATCTCCCTCACTTGCAAAGTTGCAATGTTGTAGAAACAGGAACAAACAGTAACATCTTGTTCAGAAAGAGAATGAAGATGGTTTAAGGTTCAGAAAGCTAAAACTCACCTCTTGTATGATACTCCGGTCACGTGTGAAGATACAAGGAAATAACAAAGGAACAGATGTTCCAATAACTGCTAAGACCAGTCCTATGATAACTCCAATGATAACAAGTGATTTCAGCAGCATTCGAGCCTGAGAAGACCATAACTTAATAAAAATTGAACAACTAAAGACAAAAATAGAGATAAAATCCATAGTTCTGTAGTGTAACATTCATTCATCTATAATGAAGGGAAAGGGGGAATGGAGAAACAGTCCACATAATTTTATATCAAAAGAAATTCTTTCAGCATAACATAAATGCAGAAGCCAACATTTAAGATGGTGGTTTTCCTAATTGAAAATATGCTTCAGTAACCTTTGGCAAACTCTTGTTGTGTCCGTACATCAGCTCAGGCATGAATGATTGTGCAGCTTGGCAGAGAGGTTCACCACATACTGTAAATAAACTGTATGTTTGATTCATGACCTAGAAGGAAGCATAAATTATGAATGTGATTTAACCTCAATTTATTACTGAATGAAGCAGCTGAAAAAACTGAAAAAACTGAAAAAACTGAAAAAACTGAAAAAACTGAAAAAACTGAATCTGAATGTGACTAACCTGATGAGCTGCCACAGTATGTGTGCCCATAGAGGTAGCAAAATAGATCATGAGAGCGTAGAAAGACACCTAAAATGTCAAAATGCCTCAGATGTTACAAGGAAAAAATTTTCTAAAGTATAAAAAGCTAAAAAAATCAAAGAAACCTTAGACATCATCATTATAAAGACTGGAGCAGAGAGCTTGAAAATTGTTAGAAGGTCATTGGGTGATGGAATGGATATAGCAAATGCATTATATCCTTTCCTGTTTAGAGCGTCAATCATCATGTAAGCTGCAACAGCCTAGAAAATAATTGAATAAAGCAGTTAGCAAGGGTACAAAAGGAAATCAACTTTCTTCCAATTTTGGAATGTTTCAGATAAAAAGATGAAGCCATAAATGAAAAACATCAAGTGTTCATGGAGTATACTTGTGACAGCACTGTTGCCCAAGCTGCACCAGCTATACCATAGCCTAATACATTGCAAAGTACTATATCACCAATGCCATTTATGGCACAAGCAACTGCCAGGGCTTTCAAGGGTCCCCAAGAATCTTTCATGCCAAGACTGTGGAAAGAGAGGAAAAATGAGAACACACAATAAAACAGGCATGGCAAGTCCGTTGTAGACTCATTCACGCTGACGATTGTGCAACCATGGTTTTTCTTTAAGCCACCATGTGATTTTCATCAGTAATGCCATTTACTGTAATGGTCATTGCAATGTTTTCAAAGATACATAAATGCATTTAATGGCAAGACTGGGAAGAGCATGAATTGAAACATGAAATAAAACACAAAATTCAAACCTCATTAGAAGAATTTTAAATGGAAAAAGGCATCCCGTTTATACACCCTCTCCAAAAATTGAAGAATGATATTCTATCAATACATCAAAACCCATTAGCAAACAGCTAACCAAGTAGCCACAAGCAAGTTCAGTAGAATTACATGAGAAGAAATTTGTTCTATTTTCACCTTGCACTTTGAGCAACCCATCCAACAATAACTGCAGGCCATGCCAAGCCTCGAATCTACCAAAAAAATTGCCAAGAAGGGAATTCTGAACTATAGTGCCAAATGATTAATGCCAAAGAAGTGGACAAGTCACAACATGGTAGAAGAAAAGTCCCTTATAACATTGTTATTCTTATTTTTGTCAAAATGTTATACCATTAAGAAAGGAAGTAAACAGATACAATCTAAAGTCTAAATATTCAAGGAATCATAAGAATGGAACCTGAACATATGTGTTTGCTGCTGGGACAATATGTGCATTATGTGGCCCCGTAAAAGCTGAAAAAAGCATGAGGATCCATCAGTCACTCAATGGCCTCTACTACGTTTCTCCTATAGTGTAGCATGTCATGACTGACTACCAAAACAGTGCTAAGGAAGACATGTATGATCATGTGAAAAATAACCACAAGCCCTGTCAATTACCAGTTAGTGCCCAGAAGCCAAAGAATTTTGTAAAGAAAAGCATGAAGCAGCCACTGGCCAAGCCAACAAAAAGCAGGACGGATATTTGATGCTGCACCTTTTTTGTATCCTGCACCATGGTATCTTGTCAAGAAAAATATGAGAAATAGAACATAGAAAAGGGTGTGCTAACCAATAGAATTAATGATGTGACACCCTAAATTATGCTACTGAGAATGCTAACAGACAAAATTTACATCTCTTCTTTTCCTCACACAGAACATGACCTTTCAAAAGAAGGGGGGGAAGGGCAAAAGAGTTAATGGTGCTAAACTAGTAATAGTAAAATAATGTGGAATTATTAAAACTGAATATCCCCTTCTATGCCTAAAGCACTTGAGTGCTTCCTTTCGAGGAAATTAACAAAACAAAAGTATTTGAAAGATCAAACACAGCAACCCTGTATCATACAATATGTTGCATATACTATTTAAGGGCCCAACAGGCTGACCTTTCCAGCAAGTGAGGTGGCAACCAGATTTGATGTAGCAACAGAAAGGAACATGAATACATAACTCATGTAATCACAAAGAACTGTTCCAGGGCCTGCCCATTTGAACACCAGAACGTTAAAATTTGAATACACCATGCCATGTAAAGAGATTCAGAATCTTTTTGTCTCTCTTTTTATAGTATAGTGTTTTGCAATCTCAACCATGTGGACTCAAGAAACTCAAAAAGAGATTCTCTTCTCTTTTTTTATTCTTTTATTTTTATCATAAAAAATGTTTTGTGCAATTCAGACTCATCAATGATTGCCTTTTGGCATTCCAAGACATTTGGTCTATTAAAAAGGTTTAGGCTGCAAAATACTCATTATTGGGTTGGGGAGTCCACTTGAATGTGATGCTTCTCCAATCAAATGTTACTTTTTACAATCTGGTGCAATCATATCTCGTGTGCAAAATGGCACTCTTTTAATAAATAAATTTGAAACTTCGAAAGACTTCCGAATCCTAACAAGAAATGAAGAAAGCCAAAGAAACTAAGAAAGTACCTAAAGCAGCGAGCTCAAGCGAGCTTCCTTGGCCAATGATCGCCGTGTGTGTCAGACTCATTAAAGGCCCACAGATCCAAAGCCCCGTGGCCGGTCCAGTGAACATCAATATCTCCTTCATTTGGCCCCATACACCCTGATTTTTAACCTCCAGTACATTATCCTGTTTTTCACATTCCACGGTTTCCCCCATGGCCAAGGGAACACAGGAAACATTCCCATCACCCATACTACTCTTGCTACTGATTTCAACATCATAACCGACAACCTCCTGGATCTGAGTCCTCCTGATGAAAAGATTCAAACTTTTCCCAGAAGGAAACCGAGAAAACTTAAACTGAGGAAAATGTGAGGCAAAAGATTGAGACTTTTGAGGGTAAGAAAGAAATTTGAGATTTGGGTTTTGCAGAGATGCACGAGAATGAGCAGAGAAGAAAGTCCTTACTTTCATTTTTCTCACTCAAAGCAAGAAACTTCAAGCGGAAAATGAAAGAAGGAAAGAAAGTAGTTGTTAGGACGTAGGACGAAGGCTGGTTCTGGGTGGAAATAAAAAGGCGCAAACAAACGATTTGAAACTGATGAAACGGTCCTCTCCACTCTTTCATTTTACATTTTTGGTTAAATGCTAAATTTGGTCCCTCAACTTTAGTGAGTTACACATTTTTGGTCCTTCAACAATTTTTTGCACTTTTTTGATCCCTTAACTATACGAAATGCACTCCGTTAGTCCTTCTGTCAATTTTCACCGTTAACTTGGCCACATGGCATTTCTTATATTTTTTTTGGATGACATGGCAAAAATAACTTAAAAGGCGCTGATTTGGACTTCTTCCTTTTCATCTTCCCTCCTTGCAAAATTAACCTCATCTTCCTTTCTCATCTTCCCTCTCTGCAAAATTAACCTCCACTCCATCTGCAGAATCAATCTTAATCCATTTCTTCTTCCTCTCTAAATACTCTCTCATCTCCACTTCTCTACAAAACCGATCTTAACCCATTTCTTCTTCTTCTCTTTTCTCAAGAGAACTTGAGAAATTGAACCCAATTACTGGGTTTCATTCAAGCCTCAAACTTAGTAAATCTTATCAAATCAAATTAACCATTCAATAAACAAAATAAACAATATCAATCAAATTCTAATCAAACTCCAACAAAAATACAATCAAATTGTAAATCAACTCTCAAATTTATTAACAACTAGAAATGAAAATCCAAAGAAAAATGAAAAAACATGAATTCAGCATCGAAACAGCAAAGCTGGGTTCATCGGAACCTAGTTGGGGTCTCGTCGAACCCAATAGCTGGGTTCAGGTAAACCCAGCAAGGCTGGGTTAGACGAGACCCAGCAGGGTTTGTCAGAACCCAACCTTGCTGGGTTCGGGGAAACCCAGCCAGGCTGGGTTAGACGAGACCCAGCAGGCTGGGTTCCGACGTGATCCAGCAGGCTGGGTTCGTCGCAGCCATGAAGACCCAGGGCAGGAAAAAAAGAAAGAGAAAGAAAGAAGGAGAAGAAGAAGGATTGGGTGGGTGAGGGTAGTTAGGTAATTTTATGTCAAAATGTTTGCCACGTCATAAAAAAAATTAAAAGATAATAGTAAATGTCAAAATGTTTGTCCATGTCATCACTTTGCTCTCCACATCATCAAAAAAAATATAAAAAATGCCACATAAGCGGAGTTAACGGCTCAAATTAACAAAAGGACTAACGGAGTGCACTTCTTGTAGTTGAGGGATCAAAAAAGTGCAAAAAATTGTTGAGGGATCAAAAATGTTCATTTCTTAAAGTTGAGGGACCAAATTTAGCATTTAACCTACATTTTTCTCCCCTTTCCCAAATTATTGGTCTTGGACCCATCCATGAGAGCCTGAGTGCACAGGTTGGTATTCTTCATGTGCGTGGTTGCCCATATGTGAGCTCAAGGTGGAGCCTTTATTTGGGATCTGATGGACTGTATTTTC